TTCGAACCTTAAACTGCCTTTGGTTATCTTTCGCTACTAAGTACTCGCTACAAAGTGCGTACGTGCTTTATCGACGTTTATTTCAAATTGGTGTGCGTCCGTGGAATTGGAATTTTGGTATCACTATCTAGTGGGCTACAGCTCAGTGGCATATGCCTCTACAATCTATCGACCCAGGCTCTTATTAATATCCAACATGTCCTATGGCCGAGTTGCACGGCCCTACCTCGTCTACTGGCCGATGAACCTCGTTGACCAGGTCATTGGTCGATTGTTCTTCTATGCAAGAGGTGACATGTAACACACGTACGCAGTTGAGGCGAAGCATGTTCATTACGTCGAAAAAACGGCCTGACAATTAGGTGTTAGGTTTGGGTAGCCAATCAGCTACAACCTTATAAGTAACTTCGTATTGCCGTACATTTTGAGAACATACAGCCTATGGTGGGACTGCAGAAAACCCGATGAAACACTCGTATTTTAAGTATAGTTAATCGCACGAGTTGGGGTGAAGGCCGAGTGTATTTACTATGGCATTTACAGTTGTAAACGCATGTCAATAATTGAAGAAGAAGAAGAAGTATATCTGCTCGTCAACGCCAGACACTACACTGTGACTAAAGCTGCTCACTCCTAGCTAATTTGCAAGGTCTGATTTACAATAGCGGTTTACAAAATATGCCACAATTACGTAGCTAAGACAATGCTGGTTTACACAAGCTGCCACAATTACGTAACCAAGGCAATGTCGGTTTACAAAATATGTCATAATTTTTTATAGCAATTATACTTAGCATATAAATGAAATGTAGAAATTACACATATTAATACAAGTGTGGCTGGTTTACAATTAGCATAACGACAAAGAGACGTGTATGGATTAACTAAAATAAACCAACGACCAGAACAATTAGTTAGAAAACCACGAGTGGTTGCGTGTTCGAAAAATTCGGTAGACTCCCAGCGTTGGCAACTGTACCGTCACGTGCGGTGTGGTTATGTACACAAAACCCAGAGATCGTACTGAGGATGAGTCATACACTCATGACCCATATCTTAGTTATGACATGAATTCCATGGCAATGATTTATTTATATAGTGAAGCTAAATACCAGTAACATATATATATACTCTTGTATATTATAATTATTATTGGTGGTAATGAAATCTTTGTGTCTATGGGCTTCATTAGGTCAAGTACGTGCTCTAATGTTGTTTAAACAAACAATTCAAATTACAAGGTTGGGTTGATGTAGATCTATAGTACAAACGACGCGACGAGAGCATGATACGAATTGGCTTGAATGAAAACTGTGCAAATATTGCAAAATATGATTGTAAATTATAGATGATATTTCACTGGGTAATATCGCTCGTTCCGACCTTCATTCAATATTTTTATGTCTGGGGTGGGCGGGTTTCTAAAGTTTTTAAGTAGTACATACGTACTATGCCCCGTGATGACTGTTTGGTTCTACCAAGCTACATAGTCTGATTGTATTTTTTCTGACGTTCATATCATTTTCTAATCCTCCCCGATCATAAACCCTGAGATGTCCCTACAACTTAATGACCAACGATCAGGTGCTCTTCGTGGGATATAACCTGTCGGCATAATAGAATATATCAATAAACCATGTCACACTGATGTGTTTATACACGTAGATGATATTTGTGTGTACTCAATCGCTTTCTACCAATCATAGCGTTTACAGATATCAGTTACAATCACCCGTTTCTACAAGAGGTCGCATCAACTAATACTGTGTCATTTGCATCAACAACGCCGCGATTATTGAACCTACAATGCTGACACCGATGTTTCATATCATAATTATGGCAGCGATTCTCTCATGTGGACATGGGAATATTATGGAACATGTGTTCAACGCACTGGCAGAAGACAAGTCGCCATACGAGGATATAACTCCATTGTGTCTGAACCAAACAATACAATTTATGAACGACTTCTTAGTTTCTTCTAGTCAGGGACCAGTCTATGCTCGTCAAAGTGAGTAGGATACCCCATGTACTCCATACCATATATATATCTATAAGATTTAAAGCGGGAGGGTCGTCACCTGCGCAGGCGCGCGAATTGAGTCCCGAGCGACGATAACAACACACACTAAAAACGCAAAGGCTCATGAGTAGACGCTAGCTTGTAAACAATGACACGCTATGACCATCTGACACAAGCGCAGGTGACGACTCCCCGCTTTGAATATATGGGTACAATATTTCTGTTGGTTTGTGTAGATTATTTGGCGTGTTTGCATAATTAATTAGGCTGCCAAGAAATATGCATTGTCTCTAAATACCGTGACGATGTACAGAAAGAGTTTAAGTGCCGTTATAATATGCTAAACACGACAATCAAATTACGGAGATCTGCGACACGGTGATATAACCTCAAAACCCATCTAAATTTGTCGTAAAATTTTCAAAACCGTATTAACATATTGAGGAACACATGGATCGGCACTTATTCAATAAATAAATTATTTAATTATTGTATATCAATTGGCCCTTTCAAAATGCCAACTAGATTCTCAGAACTGCCCTTTTTTCATTCTTGTGCTTTTATTATTATTGTAGATTTTGCATAATTTATGCAAGGTTTACGCATATGGCGACTGGGTACAATGAGACTATATTTGCACATATGCGCGCCATCGTATGTAATACAAATTGTTAAGTAATCAATCTTGGTAGATCTTATTCATATACTGTCATACAAGTAACAACTATCTAAAAGAAAGTTATACTAAGTTCACCGTTGAGAAGCACTGACAGACTGACTGACTGGCTGACTGACTGACTGACTGACTAGTGTACTGACAAACAGACATATCCTTGCACAAGCTCAAAGGAGAATAGAATGAGAAGGTCTGGTAATCGATAAACACAATATACGCACAACAAATCACTGATTTGAAACTGCCAAATGTTTTTTATGAAGTAGCCCTTAATATATCATGTTTATTTGTATTACGGGTTGTCGTAGGCCTGTGTATGTAGGTCTAAAGGTGTGGTATTTGTCTAGCACAAATGTGTCATCTCGGCCTGCAATGGCAAACAACTGGTAATTTTTGGGGTGCCATATCTTTCCCGTTATTTGTTTTCAGATTAAAACTGTATCAACTAAGCATTTTTTGTTATGTGTCTCAACTTGCAGACTAAACATTTTCGTTGAAATTGCTGCCAAACATTAAATCTAGTTTGTTTCGATAGATTCTCACTTGACATTGCGAAGTTGTCACGACACCGAGCCCAACCCAGTAATACGATAACATTCAAACATAGATGTGAATTGAAGAATGCAATTTATCAGTGAGAGAATAAAAATATGGCTCAGATATAATTGTCACTTCTCTGTACAATAATATTTACTGCATTCATGTACAAACTTTCAAAACTCCAAGTAAATCCTAAAAATGTATATGTTACATCTTTCCATGTTTTTCATATCTTATCCAGACTAACTAACTTATATGTTGTTATGATGAGATGTATACAACCTGGGTATGTCAATATAGCATTGTGTGTCATCACTATGATAACGTAGCACTTCTGACGTCACATATCATTTTCTGTCGTCAGACCTCTCGCATTGCTTAGTGTGGATCAAAATGGTATAGTTAGCATAACGTCAGTTTTACAACTCCATTAAAATGAAAACCAAACTACAACAATTTTTACATCCATTTCTAGGTTTAAAAAATGACACATACTTTCTTCGTATTTATACCTCATTAACATTATTGTAATAATGATACAATTATCAACTGGCATGTCATGACAGTTAAACGATTAATGTGTATTGCAATTTAATTCCAGTGTACCAATCAGCGGGAGGTTTACCACCCGATATAGAATTCAGCTGGAACGCTAAGGACTGGGGTAACTTTGATCTTTGCCGTGACGTCAAGCCTGAAGTGAATGTCACCGATTTTGGTGGTCTTTATTGTTTAACGAACACTGATTCTAACATATTGGTAAATACAAAACGTACATATATATATAGGGGGTTCACACGAGTATATATATATATATATATAGGGGGTTCACACGAGTGTCCCTAGATTGTCAAATTCAGCTGGAGATTCTAATTTTGTTTTTACAAATTTGATATTGTAGGGTCATTATCGTGTCAATTTCACATACTCGTATCGGAGCATTAAATACTCACACACAATTAACTATTTGTACGGTGTGCGGAAAAGTTGAGGTTGTGAGAATTAGAAAAGCTGCTCACATATTTAATGATGTCTTACAGTATCAACAACAATCAAATTAAAATAATTCCAACCAACCTATAGAGAACATTTGTGTGAAAAACCACCAACATACTATCGATGTTGGCATTTTCAGAGATTCTTTGTTATTTTCGCAATTCATTCCTGTTGCATTGACCAATCAGATTAACCTTTTTACATATTAATGAGATATGGTAAATTTGTACACTGCAATATTACACTGAAATTAGCGATAATTAAATAATAAAATTACTGTCCGTAACTGAGACCAGCAACTCATTTGCATATATCAACAGTGACCTGTCAATCAAAGAGCAACGTAAATAAACTTTCGGGACTTTTAATCACATACGCGTGCCTCGGTTCCCTATATATAGCAAATCGATTTTTAAGTATGTTCCAGCATTCCAAAATATTAACACTATCTAGCCAAGACTGTCTGGGTAAGAAAAAGTAATTTGCCCATGAAAATATAAAACAAAAAATGAAATGGATTAGCAAATTGTTTTCCCAAAACATGCAAATATGACATGTTTATAATCTTTGTTGTTTTGTAGTTGTTTTATATATATATATAATTTTTTTTTGTATTTTATTCAGACATCGACTGTTGTAGATCTTGGCGTTTGTTTTCCAGATTCTTGCACAGATAAAGACGTCGAAACGTTCGTCGTCGAAGGTGAGAATCTACAGGTGTTATACAAATAACACGATATGTGTGTGACAATTAGCAACAATGTGTGCCGTATATATCGAACCGTGCTTTGCAATGACTGAACAGATATCCAAGGACTATTCACGTATTCAAACTCAAAATGTTGCGTTAAGTATTTGAAAGAATATTACGTTTCACTTTTCTAGGCTTTCGCTGGCTATTGCCCTGGCCTGTTCCTACAACATCGACATCGTGTGCCCGAGGCTATTCCCTGGGGGCTGGGGACATTGTAGCCATGTAAGTAACCAATGTTCATATGTGTATCGAATTTAAACGATGATCATTTAGTTGTTGTACAAAGTACAATATATTGTTTGAGTCAACTCATTATAGGATGTATTTGCACCCAACACAATGCCAATGTCTGGTGAGTTAGCCATATTCGAATCTAATGTTCGAATCTAATACAGTGTGCCCAAGGGCAAGAAAGAGAAATGTAAATTCAATCATTATTATTTTAAACAAACTGTCTGTCAATTACGCTGCAGAACCATATGTGCGATTCTATTATGTGTCATCATTGCTGGAACTGTGTACGATATGGTGAGAATGAGGCGGGAGAAGTCGTCTGTGCAGCCTGTGATGCCATCGAAGACCAGAACTGAAGACAGTCAGGAACTGGACAACCACTTAGATACCAACAACTCTCCCACCAATTTGGACGTAGAAATCGACTACAACGAATCAACCAAATGTGACGTATGCGCTACTAAGTGTCAAGGTATCAAATATGATCTTAAAATAATTAACAACATTTCTAGTTTGAAATAAAGGAAACACGCATTGACCATTATTTCGTGAGAACAGGGCAAGTACGGGAACGTGTGCAATAATGTGCTAGCACTCCCGTCCGAGCCCTGTTATCCCGCAATGATGGGCAGTGGGGAGTCTTTTATTTAAACTGGTCTGTTGAAAATATGTATATGTGTGCAGTGGTAGCCTGAGAAAAGAGAAATCGTCAATGTGGTTAGAGCGTCGGGAAAGCCTGTATTTTAGTTCACGGGCAAACGCATACGCACATTGGTAAATTTTCAGATGAAAATGTCCAGGATTTCATAAACCTAAACAAATAATATACGGTTTGTTGTTTAAAATATTCATACAAATGTGGGGAGATAATGTATTGACGAGTCACACACACATACACGCGATCTTGTTCTGATAACAGGTTTGTTCGTGGCACCGATCGACCAATGAGGATACAATAACGGGCTGCGCACGGGAATATATAATACGTTATGGTAATATTCATGTCGTGTTCATTGCAGATATAATAATTGGGTGTCTCATGTCATTCTCTGTCATCGCCGTGGGTAGAAAAATGATGAGTACGACTCAAGCAAAGGGTGCCATCGGTTGTCTAAACGGAATACGTGTTATCAGTATGTTTTGGATTATATTATTTCATGTGGTTCTGTATCTGGCTACATTTCCTCCACTTCTCGGTGAGTACATATAAATATTACTTGATTTCTTTAACAGGGTGAATTTCCCATGACGAGATGTGTCTGTACAATGCCGTTTCTCTTATTTTTAGATAAGCTAATATGTTTTGATTGTTCCCCATACTTTTGTTTTGTATTTGTTTTTTTATATACAGCGTTTTGAAATTAAACGTCATTAATGTTTATATCGATGTACTGGGGCATTTTTAGTAAAACTAGATCAAATTAGCATCAAATTATTGAAACTAAGGACTTCTGTGTTCTTTGTCATTATATTCGAACTTCTTAGTCGAGTTACTAGCGATAACATATGTTTATTTTTTGTAATCAGGTAATATTGGTTATGTTGATAAAGTAGGCGAATCGTGGTCAACGATTATACCTAGGAAGGGTGATCTTGCTGTCGAAGCATTTCTTGTTCTTAGGTGAGTTTTTTTTTTTATTAACAACTCATATATCCAAAGAAAATGTCGTCATAATAATAGTGCAATACTCTAGCATAACTCTAGCAACAAATTTTACCCTGGGATATTGTTTTCTCGGTAGCACGTGTGACTGATGTTTACAGGCGACTAATATATCATTGCGCCATGATATGTTCGCCAGTAAGATGCATGTCATACCTCTGGTTGCCGGTGCTTAATACTATGCAATCCTCATTGAGGAATCCCATTCATTGGGCAATTTAACAATGTTTTTTTTACACCTGTAGTGGTTTGTTGGTAACTTATCTAACAATGAGACAATTCAAACGTTGTGGTGGTCCCAGACATCATAACTGGTTCTTGTTCTACTTCCATCGATTCTGGAGACTGACTCCTGTGTACATGTTTGTGTTGATGTTGTACACTACTCTGGTGATATTCGTGTCCGATGGACCACTGTGGAATCAATGGATACCCACTCAGGCAGAGTGTGAGGAGACATGGTGGGAACATTTACTGTACATCAATAACTTGTATCCCTTGCCCGGAGGTACTGGCGGGGTAGGTATCTAGGTGACAACCATTGTTCATTCATTATTTGATTCACACAAATGTAAACATTTGTCATGGTCATAAGTCATTACATTACATTACGTTACGTTATATTATATTACATTACATTACATTTATTATTTGTTTTACTCAAATGTAATAATTTGTCATGGTCATAAGTCATTCGATTAAATTGCATTACATTTATTTGGTTCACACAAACGTAAACAGTTTTCATGGTCATAAAACATTACATTACATTACATTACATTTTTAATTCCGATTTGCATTACTTTATAGTGTTTTGGATGGTCTTGGTACCTTGCGTTGGATATGCAGTTATACATTATTAGCCCGATATTTATCATCACTTTCTACAAGTAAGTCACTTATATGATAACGAGCAACATACATTATAATCACTACTACATAATATCAGAATACCTCGCACTCACTGTGAAATTACATGCTACGTATACTTAAGTCTATGTATAAGAAATGAACCTGAGCGATATCATTATACAATAATGCATCCTTACATACATACAGGTCTCGTGTGGGCGGCGTTGTTTTGACAGCAATTACCTGTTGTGCCTGCTTTGGTGTATCTGCTTATTTTTCTGTTGTTCAAGGCAGACCCTTTGGATTTGACACTGAGTAAGTGTGATTTTTTTATCTTCATACAAAACAACAGTACACAATTGTACGTAATTTGTAAAAAAAAATCACTGACATTTGTACGAATATGTTTACAGTTTAATGAGATTAGTATTTGTGTAACTAAATAAAAGGTATTAACGTTTTTCGGCTGTACTTATATTCCTTATCAAGAATACCATAGGATTGTTTATGTATTATTAAAAAACGTCGAGTAAGATAGGCGCTACGCGTCCGAATGATTGACAACGTGATCATGTCTTATAGCGCCGCATGGCGTTCACGTTTTTGCTACGTATATAAATTATTGTATTATTATTTTTATAGATATTACAAAGAGCCGAAATACGAAGGTGGAGATGTGTTGTACACAAAACCCTGGTATCGTTTACCAAACTATCTTGTTGGTGTCGTCTTGGGGTACCTATTCTTTTGTTTGAATGGTAAAAAGGTCAAAATAAATAAGGTTTGTAAATGAAATAATGTATCGTCATATCAGGTTAGGGATGACAATTTATGTATATTCACTACATTCCACGTTAGACATTTAGTCAATCGTATTGTTCCTGTGAGTATGCATACTTCGAAAGAGGCGACATGGGGCATTTAATAGATGGGAGTATGCGTACATTAATTTCAATATTTTACACTAACAATAATGGTTGCAGTGTATTTGATTGTGTATAAAAGATATTACCAATTCAGTACTTTCGTTGTAAGTCTATTCCCTTATTGTGTTGTGTGTTCACCAATTCCCGATAAATTTCTTGTCGTAGGCTCTTCATAAATAGTGATACGATTATGGGCGTAATGTACTGCGTGTGTCGAACACGTGCACCAATATACAGGCCGATATCAAGAATGTCCGCCCCCAAGTGACTGCTATTGCCTGAATCGAATGCATCGGCCAATAACAGCTACTTGGGGGACAATAATCCTTACTTTGACCAAGGACATAGCTGTTTTATTATTCCGAAAGTGAACAACTAGACAGTAAGCTGGGCAAAACTGTGAGTCAAAAGCAGACTTTCAAAGTCAAAAATTTCAAAGTCAAAATCAAAAATAGCCATCAGTAGAGAAATGCATTCGAGAGTATTACCCATCCTGTTAATCGTCAACAACAATCACGGATGTTATGACATCAGATGCATGAAATGACGTCAGAACAAACGAGCCTGTGTCCGATGTTGACCAATAACATTGATTCATACTTTAGGCTTAATAATGTGGTCGCTGTTTCATATAGTGTTTGATGTCGCGTTGCAGCACAATAACATGATTTACATTTAAATCATTGTTATTGACGTCATTTTAGTTGATTCAAAATGGACACATCCCGATTAACACAAACAAGGCCTCCGATTATTTAATAATACGAGTTTTGTTTATCTTTTCTTGAACAGATATTAAATCTGTTCACGTGGGCGTGTGCTATTGCCGTTGGATTGGCTGTTGTGTTAGGAGTCTACACTTCGATGACAGATCACCGTGTGGACCAATGGGTAGCTGTGTTGTACGAAACAACACACAGATTTGCATTCTCTGTGGCAATTGGTTGGGTTATATTCGCTTGTAATACTGGTAATGGCGGTAAGAGTTTTTTTATTTACTTCCACAGTGTTAAGTTTGCTCTAATAGTATTGTGCAACCACACATTTGTCATTAAAATAACTTTTATTGCCCTCAAAACGTACGCTGTGTATTATTCAACATTCGAATTTATCAAACGTTGCCATGATTGCATTATATACACAACAAATTAATGTATTTACTCTATGCACTCAAATAAATTATTAAACTGTCAAAGTGTTATTCCTATAGGACCTGTAAATACACTGTTGTCATGGAGTGCCTGGTTACCACTGGCTCGAATGAACTACTGTGCCTATCTGATACATTTCGTTATTCTCTTGATATACGATTTCAGTTTGAAACAGTTGTTCTATTATTCAGATATGAATACAGTAAGTATATTTATTTGTTCACACTACGCACCTTCTAATTATATTACTGCGCGGTAACGCTCAAACATATCAAGTACCGTATCACAGAGTGTTCTGTTTACACTACGAACCTTCTAATCATATTACTGCGCGGTGACACTCAAACATATTGAGTACCGTATCACAGAGTGTTCTGTTCACACTACAAACCTTCTAATCATATTACTGCGCGGTGATGCTCAAACATATTGAGTACCGTATCACAGAGTGTTCTGTTTACACTACGAACCTTCTAATCATATTACTGCGCGGTGACGCTCAAACATATTGAGTACCGTATCACAGAGTGTTCTGTTTACACTACGAACCTTATAATCATATTACTGCGCGGTGACGCTCAAACATATCAAGTACCGTATCACAGAGTGTTCTGTTTACACTACGAACCTTCTAATCATATTACTGCGCGGTGACGCTCAAACATATTGAGTACCGTATCACAGAGTGTTCTGTTTACACTACGAACCTTATAATCATATTACTGCGCGGTGACGCTCAAACATATCAAGTACCGTATCACGGAGTGTTCTGTTCACACTACGCAGTTTCTAATCATATTACTGCGCGGTGACGCTCAAACATATTGAGTACCGTATCACAGAGTGTTCTGTTTACACTACGAACCTTCTAATCATATTACTGCGCGGTGACGCTCAAACATATTGAGTACCGTATCACAGAGTGTTCTGTTTACACTACGAACCTTATAATCATATTACTGCGCGGTGACGCTCAAACATATCAAGTACCGTATCACAGAGTGTTCTGTTCACACTACGCAGTTTCTAATCATATTACTGCGCGGTGACGCTCAAACATATTGAATACCGTATCACAGAGTGTTCTGTTTATACTACGAACCTTCTAATCATATTACTGCGCGGTGACGCTCAAACATAATGAGTACCGTATCACAGAGTGTTCTGTTTACACTACGAACCTTATAATCATATTACTGCGCGGTGACGCTCAAACATATCAAGTACCGTATCACAGAGTGTTCTGTTCACACTACGCAGTTTCTAATCATATTACTGCGCGGTGACGCTCAAACATATTGAGTACCGTATCACAGAGTGTTCTGTTCACACTATGCACCTTCTAATCATATTACTGCGCGGTGACGCTCAAACATATTGAGTACCGTATCACAGAGTGCTCTGTTCACACTACGCACCTTCTAATCATATTACTTTGTCTATTTAATTTTTATAACTCAGATATTATTGAGTGTAATAATTCAATAACTAACCGTACCTAATACACATCATGTTATGCTTTCGGAAGCAATGTACTATTTGCTCGTAATTAAGACAAGTTCTCTAGTCTCCTTGTGTTGTCCACTAAAAAGTAGTACCATTGTTTATAAACGCATCTTGGAAATAGTTATAATAGGACGAGTGACGAGACTCGAAATGTACAACAGTCATGTTTGAAATGGGGAAGGTTGACATGCAAATTAGAAACGTTTTTGTTCTAAAGCGACATTGTTTTTTTCCTTTCTCTAGGCGTTTGCGTATATTGGTATTCTGGTAGTGACATATATGGCGGCTTTTGTCATTGCAATGGCAGTGGAACTTCCGATGATTGAACTAGAAAAAGTCATATTACCATGTAAAAGGAAAACATCATGAATCTTTCTTCGTTTTAAATGTCGTTTGATTGATCCTGTTTACTCATGTATTATAATAAGCCCATTATGTCAGTTATATATATATATGTATATGTATAAACAAAGAATGTGTACAATTGTATGATATTAGGTCAAATCTATATAACTTTTAAGACTTCATTTTGTTTATTGCGCTTTATTGTATGAAATGCTAACGCTCAACGATTATGTTTAGTGACGTCTTATACATAATATTTGCATAATGTAATAGTATGCGTTGGTCAATAGCTAGTAATTAACTTATGTTTTAGCACTTTCGCTTATCTTGTATATGTATACTCAACCAAAAACAAACTTTGTCTTTGTTTGTCTTTGTAAAATTACAATTATGTAATAAGATTGTATACAATAAAGTTTATTTCAGTGATGACACCATATCAAATGAAGGACGGTACTACTATTGTAGAATATGACTATGAACTAATTATCGCATAAAAACATGATTATCCGCAGACAAATTCATATACGTTGTGACTAAGCCAATGTAATGATTTATCGTGCAATAAAATGTTATGTTTCAAATTGTTAGAGATATTTAACGAGTTTCCTTCATATGTGGTTTACGCCATTTGATGTACGGGTGCGATTATGAGTAGAACACAAATTGTTTTATTTAGTTTGACTAAAATTCTTGTTCGAAAAATGTAATAATTACATTTTTATAAGGTCAAATACAAAGCTTTTGACAAATTTTATAACACAATATTCTGATTACATATCGCATTTAAAAAGTTGATGTAACAACTCATTGGTTAATCATGTCGAGTTTTGTGACTGTTTTTTTTAAACCTTTTAACCAGTTACTGCCATCGCAATCAAGTAATGGATGGTACACATTGGTTGTGAAAAGTTTAAGTCATTCATAAACTTTATTGTGAGCATTCAAATACAGTAAATGTAAATTCTCATATCATGAGTTGTCTTCCGACACGAGTGCTTTGAAACGTATTGCATAAATTGTTGTTGGCAACAACATTTGTAACATTGTCGTCGCCACTGTAAGCTGAGTAAATACTAGCGTATTGATGTACGTGTCACAATACTTGTTGCTGCGATTATCTCGTAGAACAGAGTGACCTCGATATTGGAAAATCATTCTGTATTGACGTCACACTGATACATTATCACTATACATACAATTAAGATAAATGGTTCATTGCCCTTTTTTAAGTAGGATATGAGATTGGACCCAATTTTTATTTGAGCAAGTGAGATATTTTATATTATTTTTTTTTACTTTTAAGTTCTTTCTTTTGTAATGCTCTAGAGACATTTAAGTAAATTAGATTATAAACCAACTGTCGCCAGTCATGTTATGAGGCAACTATTTCTTATACGATAAACTTATTCAACATGGTACGTTCATACTTATCAGTCTGATGTGAATGTCGCATTGTCATACAAATCACTCCACAACCCCGACACGGGTTCCACGTGATGTATATTCTGACTCATCGTCAGTCATATATTATATCTAATTATGAGTAGAACATCGACTTCCTGACGTCATTTCGTGACTTATGACGTATACTGAGGTGCGTCTAATTTATAACTCCATTGAAAATCGGTCAACCCTCTATTAATTATGGAAGCCCTCATAAACAGTCACATTGGATTCCGAATCAGGATGTGGAGCAGCTGTAACGTTATCGATGGGATGTTAGTATGATTGTATGTGTGAATGCAACCAGTCAGTGCGTGTTGCATCCATTTTGAAAGGATCTTATACGGTTCCTATAGACTTATATAGATTCCTATAGAAATCTAATAATGGTTTTCAATAGTTTAAATTGATCTTATAATTTTTTGAGCAGTGGTAGACTGACGACAGTCCTCGGGCCTAATGTAATTGTGTATCCTAGATATTCAAACGCCGACGGTACTGGATAGGTATAGTCGTACCATGCTAACTAACAGCACTCCATACTTCCTGTCCCGGCGTTGGCAATTTATTAACGCCTATTACGTTTATACACAATATTTATTAATAATAACAGATTAATATTAGGTACGACCGACTGTCGACAGTCTATACTGCTGTATCAATACAACACTGTTTCTTTATACCGTTTAGTATTTAAATCTCAAATATGGGGAAAAAGTGGGACCTTTACCATTCTAAAAGCTTCTGAAGTCGAGTAGATAACTCTGTACAGGCGAGACAAACTCTGCGTTCAAACAACTGATAAATTATGCTGTTTGTGTTGTCTCTACTTGTCATTTATTGATGTGTCAGGAAGATTTGTGAAAACAGTACAATTACCAAATCAGGCAGTTTACGCAGAATATTGTTTCACGATAGAATATGCATGTGAATATTTGACACGTGAGACGTCATAACCAGACAGGTGATTGTAACGTCACAACTAATCACTCAGGTATTTGATTGTAACGTCATAACCAGTAGGTATTTAATTGTAACGTCATAGCCAGACAGGTGTTTGATTGTAACGTCATAACTAATCAGTCAGGTATTTGATTGTTACGTCATAACCAGTAGGTATTTAATTGTAACGTAATAACCAGTAGGTGTTTGATTGTAACGTCATAACCACTAGGTATTTAATTGTAACGTAATAACCAGTAGGTATTTGATTGTTACGTCATAACCAGTAGGTATTTAATTGTAACGTAATAACCAGTAGGTGTTTGATTGTAACGTCATAACTAATCAGTCAGGTATTTGATTGTTACGTCATAACCAGTAGATATTTAATTATAACGTCATAACCAGTAGGTGTTTGATTGTAACGTCATAACTAATCAGACAGGTGTTTGATTGTAACGTCATAACCAGTAGGTATTTAAATATAACCTCGTAACCAGTCAGGTATTTGATTGTAACGTCATAACCAGTCAGGTATTTGATTGTAACGTCATAAGAAACTGCCGAAGCCTTGGATGGATCAACCAAGATCACAGAACAAATGTATGATGCTATTAGTCAATTGTAGACGCAAATTGCAATGTAGAGTAGCAAGATGAGTTTAAAGATATACTGTAAACAGCGCCACCTTCTGGCCAGCTATTCTATGCCTAATTCTGAAAGAGTATACTTGGCAGGAAGTGCTAAAAATAGCTATGATGCACTTGTGTTTGGGCTCTTCGACGGAGACAATGGCAGAGTATGGTGCATTTACTTTAGTTGTACGTTTCAGTGATTCTCTCCACATCTATAATAAATATCAAAAAAGAATATGTTTAACTCATACCATCTGAAAAAAACCCAATTGAAACAGTTCTGAATTAATCTTTTCAAAATTATCTCAATATACCAGTGTCCGAACCACACTGGTTTGCTATAACCGGCTACAGCAGAATGAATGGTCCTTGGCTGCCAAAGATGTCAATATACATGTACTAAAATTAAACTAAAGTTGTATGACAGAATAGGGAAATGTTTGTTTATATTGTCAGTAGGTTTTGGATACAAATCAACTTTTAATCCATGCATTATATAGCATTAATTTAAAATGAATACGTATCTTGTTTTGTACTAAATAATCTTAATACAAAAAAATAATTAAAAACGAAAAATTATAACCACGGCATCACATCATTTTTCAATTTACCTTAGTAGAAATACAATTTTTGGTGGGAGTGGGGCTAAAAATGCCAGAATTTTGTGGCTTCAATTCTATAAATATTGGCCATATAAAAGAAATACTTTGTTTTCCCATACAATCAACTTGCTAATAATCTAGACCTGATGAAGCAGTTATTGTCAGTCATCAATCGGCTTTAACAATGGTTTTCTTTTGAGTCGTTTGAATAAATCCAATGCAAATAAATAAATAAGAATATTAAATTCAATCCTATGAAATGAGCTTACATGTATAACATAATATGGAACTACAATCACCTTCTGTACACGTCAGTTTAACATGTTGATCCAGGACAGCTTTTCCTAGATTCTAAATCCATTGAAACTGATCCTCTGTTGTCCAAATACCCATCAGAGTTTGGTATACCACATTGATAATCCATACCAAAAAACTAGCAATGACTATATATACAATATTTCATGAAAGTATAGTGTGACCTTGATTTAAACAAAAATAGACTGTCAGTGACAAATACATATTTACTACTTGTGAGATTTACTGCATTTCAGCTATTAGTAGCACACCTCCAATAGAAAAACATATCTCTATTAAAAGCACATTTTGATAAAGGTCAATGGTCAAAGGTAAATATTATATTATTGATTCAGTATCCAACAAAAGTTGTTTTTTCTAATAGAGGAAATGCAGCACCATATTTGCTCTATTACAATTTTAAATGAAACAGAAGTATATGTACACAGTGTTTCTAGTGTTCCCTCTAAGCATTATTTTTGTTAAAGGAAATTAGATATCCTTTGACATCTAAAGGATTACCTGTATTTCTAAATTACACCATCCTTTCCTGTGACATCATTACGTAATACAGCATTTCTATGGTTATACATTGTTCCCGGATCACGCGCAGACATTTCTGTGTAGAAAAGTTGGTATGTACACTGAAATTAAATAAGTTATTTACTTTATTTTCACATCAACCTACATACCATTATTTTCATTGATGAAAACAAAAAAACATCGCAAGCACAACTCCAAAGCACCCGGTAAACAAAACGTAATTGGTGATTCCTTGTATTATAACCAAGCCTATGCAAGAATAATACAAAAATGCTGTTTACCTGTAATGAGTTCATCAATCTGTGAAGTCCTTCAGGACAGTGATACACTCCACCTAAACTTTCAAAATTAGTGGATCCATTTGTCATCATTGCCAACTGTGCTGTATACGCCCTCTGATTAGTCAGATCATCTCCACCAAACATTTTGAAACCTACTACTTCTGGCCTATCACCATTACTATGGGAAATATAGTTGTCACGGATGTGCTGAAGGATGCTTATCATTTCATCATTTTTATTTTCACTTTTATCAAGCAGATCTAGCACAATAATGTCAGATTTCTGTTTTGTTTCGTGTATTTGAGAATGCTAAATGTATTGTGGAATAACACTCAATATACAGTACCAGTGTCCGACAGATATGGAAAATGCAAGTATCTAATAGTCCAATCAAGATTGTCACCTATGATTACCCATGGTGTTTCTCTCCTTTTCTGAACATCCTTTATAACATGTAGTTGAT